AGTATATCAGATCCCAAATCATTGTACTCAGAAGCAAAACAAAGTTTTCAAAGTATTTCTAATCACTCTGGAATCAGGTGGGCAGTTTTCTGCAGAAGGCAAGTGACACGACTGAGAAGCATATGAGAAATCAATAGGACTTGAGAAAGTCCTAGGTGGTGGTGGGAGAAGAAAGGCAATGGGAGTGTACTGAAAAAAAACTTGAGTGGGGCACAGCAGGTAGGAAGAAGTAGGGGAACAGTTTAGGCTGGGTAGGCTGAGTATGCAATCGCAGGCAGAGTTATGCAGTGACTAAAGCCCAAGGATGTGGTATGCAAATGTTCTCTCGGAAACCTGAAAGGGTGGCACACAGAGGCAGGGAAAAGAGCCTTGCTTTCAGAGTTCCTGTTCCAGCAGGGCTTCTGGCCAAATGTCTTGAGTCACCATCCTCTGGAATCCTGTTTCCACTGGGAACTGGCCCAGAGAGAGGAATCCTCCCTCCATCTACCTTTATAGAAACATCATGGAATCAATGATGGGCTCTACAGAATTGCTCCAGTGGTCCATACACTTACAGGCTCTCCGTGGGTGAGATGACATTCAAGAATGCTTTGTAAAGCATGAAGCACTAAACAAAAGGAAGCCTATTGCTCTAATTCTCCTGGGTTTCATCTTTCCCAAGGCCTTCCTCCTGGAGATAGAGCTCCTATGACCCTGGAAGACCCCACTCAGAGCCTCCTTACAGGCTGGCCTTGTGTTAACAGTTTATAAGTGCTCAGCCATTTACATGGAAGTCATGAACATGAGGCAGCAGGCGTTTTTTTCTTTCTTTTTTTAAATCAGTGTGCAGCCTTTTCTTCCTCCCCCACCCACTTCCTCCCTGAGTCAGTGTTCATGAACCCTCTTCTCACAGATACTTCTGTCCTGACCACCCACGGATGAGTGTTTCTACGTGCAAGAAACCATAAGGGTATTGCAGAAAAATGAGTATTGCTTATGACTTGAAACAGGGCCTCTATTAAAGGTGACTGACCTACCATTTTCCAAACTGATCTATTCTATTTTGTCTCTGCAAACATGAGACAGTTTGTAGAAAAGCTCTGTTGCCCTCCAGGAAGTCAAGTTGAAGAGTTTAGGGATGAACATAAACATCCTATGCTTTCCGTAAGCATTCACTTATGGATCATGAATCTATGTCAGCCATTCTCAAACAGGAGTTTATTTGCAGCCTGTGGTCATCGATTCATTCCTCTCACAAATATTTTTTGAGACCTCTCATGTAGCAGACCCTGCATTAGGCCACAAGGATACAGTGTTGACCAAGATGGAGGAGATCCCTCACTCTGAGGAGCTCAGGTATAAATGTCCTCCGATATTACCTGCAAGGTAAATAGTACTTAGGCATCTCCCATTATAGGACCAAATTAGCAAACCTAGAATGTTTGGGGGTGGGGGGTGTGGAAGGAACAGGAGGCAGTGAAATAGTTTTCTGGGGAGTAAGAGATTTGCATAGAACAGGATTCCTCTAATTCCTCCAACATAGCATTATTGCTTGCTCTTTCCCTATATCATAATGCAAAGGCACTCGTGGTTTGAGTCCCAGAAGGAGAGACTGAAAAAAACATGGAAGAGAGCAAGACCTGACATAGAGCCAAAAAAGCGTAATTAGCTGAGTTCTGCCTAGCACTGTTCAGCTTAGTGAATCTATCTGGTCACTGTAACCATTTATTCAATGCCATAGACCAGCATCTTTTTGCTGAGGTTTGAGTTTATAATATCATGCCTGATCAGTGTTTAAGGAGCTTTGAATACCCCTTAGATTAGACTGTTGAAATTAGTGAATTGGCTTCTTGTTTTATGTTTTTAATAGGTAACACATTCAAGTAGTTCAAAAATCTGTAAGATACAAGAGTAGAAGAAAAAGTCCTCCTTTTACCTCTGTTCTCCAGCTGCCCAAGACCCCTCCCCTGAAGGAATCGATTCAATTAGTTTTGTAGATATCCTTATTTTATCCATATTTTATAGATATGGTAAGTAGGATTCTTAACCAGTTTTCTAACTTGAGAATAAACCTCATGTCAGCCCTGTGGCAACCTGTCCTTCTAGAATATTTCCTGTTCTGCAGGACTTATATGAATCAGAAGTTTAGATTTTATTTTCCAGATGAGTATAGTGTGAGCTGTTCTCAAGGGGGACAACAGGAAAAACAACTAGAAGAGACATGAAAAAATATATTTTAAGGGTTAATACTCTAAGAGAATTTCATGCCATCAAAACAATCTCTGTTGATTGGGTTGGTGGTTACCAGAGGGGAAGGGGGGAGGGAGGAGGGCGAAAGGGATAATTAGGCACATGTGTGTGGTGATGGGTTGTAATTAGTATTTGGGTGGTGAACATGATGTAATCTATGCAGAAATAGAAGTATAATGATGTACACCTGAAATTTATACAATGTTATAAACCAATGTTACTGCAATAAACAAAAAAAGTGATAAAAAAAAAAATCTCTGCCAAACAAGGTTTTACTGTCAAGTTTTAAAAATCTGGTTTCCTGAGGAAAACTATACCTGGTTCAAAAATAATAGCCCTTGCTAAGTGGTACATAGTGTTCTAAGTACTTTATATATAAATGTATCATTGAAACTTCCCAACAATCACATGAAGTAGGTTCATTTTATAGGTGAAGAAAATGAAGGACAAACAAGTTAAGCAAACTGCAAGTTTTCAAATCTAGGTGGGACTCCAGGGCCCTCACTCGTAATCTGCATGATACTCACCATCCATTCTGATACAGAATAGCCAAAAGAGGGCACGTGACGTTTTTTGTTTATACATTTTTGTTCTTGTTTATTCAAAATCTTTTGTTCTCAAATTTTAGGATCAAAATTACTCATGATGTTTAAATGCAGAGTCCCAGACCTCAGCATTGACCTGGAGACTTAGAATCTCCAGGGGAAGGGCTCCAGGAATGCTTATTTCAGCCAGCACTGCCGGTGATGCCAAGGCAGGTGGTTCCTAAGCATATTGTGACAAACGTCATACCTGTGGGACTTTGTGTTTTCCAAAGTTGGTCACACCCACAGCTTCTACCACACATACTCTGCTACTTTCTAGAATCTTGTCACTCCTCTTTCAAGAGGTAGAGTCCATATCTTGGGTGGGCTTTTGTGACTAGTTGACCAATACATTATGGCGGGAGTAATCCTATGTGACTTCCAAGGCTGGGGCAAAAAAGTGGATTCAGCTGCCACTTGCACTTGCTAGAACACTCACTCTTGAAACCCAGCCACCATACAGTGAGGAAGCCCAAGCTGTCCCAGGGAGAGGCCCACCTTGAGGGGAACTAACAGCCAGCACCAACTTGCCAGCTATGTGAGTCATCTCACAAATGGATCTGGTCCCGGTCAAGCTGCCTAGGCTGCCGCAGCATGGAGCAGTGACGTGCCTTGTCTGCCAAGCCCTGCCCAAATTGCAGATTCAAGAACTAAATAAATGATTGCTGTCCTTTTAAGCACTAAGTTTGAGCTGGTTTGTTATGCAATAGACAACTGGCGTAGTCCCCTTCTAATTCAATATTCACTCTGCCTTTCTTCCTAATAAGGTGAATTCTCCTGGGTCTTCTCTAAAATATTCTGAAAGTATCCTTGTCCAATGTCATTTACTTTCTCAGATTCTTCTAATCACAGAACCACTCATTTAGGACTTCTGGTTATTTCAAGTTCCCATTATTACCTCTGAGGCTGTGTTTCACATCTAAAAAACACTGGTAATAAGAAAGCCTACCTTATATGCTTTATAATTAAATGAGATAATCCATGTCACCATTTAGCATGGTGCCCAGCACATGTTATCTTTTATTATTCTTATTAAGTTTCTTGCATTCATATTCTCCATTTCTTTAATGCTCTATTTTTTTTTTTTCTTATAGCTTAATGCCATTTCACAGGCTATTTTCTATGCCTGGCATGCTCTTCCCTACCAGGTCACTTAGACTCTTACCCATGTTTTAGGCCTCAACTTCTTTGGGAAGCCTTCTCTGACTTCTCAAGCAATTAATGCCTCCCTGTGCTCAAATAGCACCTTGGAGGAGCCTCTATTATAGCCCTTAACACATTGGGTTGTAATTGTTTACTTGTCTCTCTTCTCCACTGGACTCTAAGTTCCTGGAAAGCAGGGTCAGCCTCTTTGTATTCTCATCCCCTAATACAGCATCTGGCACATCTTCATTCACCATCTACTGTCTGTGCTACTGTGTTTGGAAACACTGTGCTTAAGTAGTTAAGGGGTCCATGTTTTGGGAGACCTGCCCGAGGACAAAACAGCTCCACCTCCTGCATAACCTTGAAACAAGTTAGCGTCTCTGAGCCTCATTTGTAAAGGCGGAGGCAACACCTTCTTAAGATTGCTGTGAAGATGAAGTAAAATAGTAACTGCAGTGAGCCCATCACACAGCAAGCAATCAATCACCAGGATGTCACGAAATGCTTCCCCAAATCCTATTTTCGGGCATCCCCACTCTAATCTTCCTTTAGGGCCCCGCGCTCTGTGGGTATCCCTCTTTCCCGGATTACTCCGGGCTCTCCAATCCTCTCCTTGGTCATTCCTCCAGCTAACGACTCTGCCGTTTCAACCACTGAGTCCAGAAGCCATTCTTCTTCCCCGCCCCCAACTCTCCAAGCTCTTTTCTTTTAGCCTTTCCCGGGCCTAAGGGGTGTGTCAGAGGCTTGATTTTTCCGAAATTTGAAGATCAAAACTCTCTGGCTAGGGTTTTCCCTGGCTAACTTTCGAGACCCACAGGAGCTTTGCTACCGAGTTTCGGTCTTCTCTCTTTGAGTCAGGAGCCAGCGGATCAACTTGACCGCAGTCGTTCCCTGCAGCACCAGCTCCGACCGCGCGCAATGCAGGAACGTTGAATGAATGAACGATCGCACTAACGAAGGAATGGGCTACGTCGGCGGCCGGGCCTCTGTTACGTCGCCCACCGGCGCGGGCGTGGCCGTGGATAAGAAGTCTGAGGGGCGCCGCCAGCGCAGTCCCACCATCGCGCGGCCCGCTCGGCCAAGACCGGCGGAGCTCCGCGCCACCTCCTCCAAGTCCCTGCCCCGCCGCGGCGCGTCACTTCCGCCCCCTCGGGCCGGGGCTGGGGCGGGGAGCGCGGGGGAGGGGGCCAGGTCCGAGGGAAGCCCGCCCGAGCCGGGACTACATTTCCCGAGGGGCCTGGGCTGCGGCGGCGGCGGCGGCGGCGGCGGGCGCGGCAACGTCCCCCGGAAGTGGAGCCCGGGACTTCCACTCGTGCGTGAGGCGAGCGGAGCGGAGACAAGACCAGAGGCCGAACTCGGGATCTGACAAGATGGCCGGGCTGCCCCGCAGGATTATCAAGGTAACCGCCCAGGCCGGCCTCCGGCTGCCCGCTCTGCTCGTGCGCTCTCGGCAGACCGGGCGGCGCAGCCCCTCGCTGCCTGCGGCCCGCGGCCCGCGCTGGGAGGCCCGAGGCAGCGCGGAGAGGGTCTGGCCGCGGCGGCGAGGGAAGTCGGGCGCTGGGGAGGGGGCGCCGGGGAGACTTCCGGCCGCGGTGGGGCAGCCCGGCGGCGGGGACCCGGGGCTTCCAGGCGGCTGCCCCGCGAACAGGGAAGGCCTGGCCTGCGCTCTGGCGGAGGGTGGGGCCGGGGTTGCGGGGCTCCGGTTTTGGGCGCGGGCCGGCGCGGGCCTCGGCGGCCTCTCAGACCACCCCCGGGCGGAGGCCGCGGGCGCGCGGGAATCGTGGCGGGGCCCCGACTCGGGGTGGGGGTTGTGCCCCGGCACGGCCCCTCGGCCCCGGAGCCCCCTCTCGGCCCGAGCGGGAGCGCGGGGATGCGGCAGCCCCGCGTTCGGAATGAATGAACCGGGCGGGTGAGGCCGGGCGGGGCCCTGTGCCCCGGGAGGCGGCTCCGGGAGGGCCGCGCGTCCTGCCGCCGTCGACACATGCGGGCCCCGGGGTCCGGGGATGTGGGGGCTTCGCGCCCCGCTGCCCTCGCTTCCGCGAGCTCGTTTCCTTAGATACGTTTCCGCTCGTTATCTCCGCGAAGTGATTTTACTCTGGTTGGCAGACTGGTTCAGAGCTCCTGTTCAGAGGAAATAGTTTAACACGAGACCGGGGGTGGGGGTGAGGGCGCAGGTATGGGAGACCCTGTGAAATCTTTTGCCTCTCGATTTTGTGCGCTTTAACCATTACATATAGAACCATGAAAAATTTGACATCTTTATTTTGCGAATTCTTTACATAATATCGAGTCCTCCGATGTGAAATGTTTCTTGCAATACTCAAAAACAAAGCTTTGAAGTTTTTTGTCAATTTTAGTGAAGGAAATCAGTTGAACTCTGTGTCGCTCAATATGCGAGTTCAAGTGACTAAATTGCAGCATCATTTTGCTGGATATAATGTGTTGAGCGTATATTTAATCTAGTTTGTTGTTCTAAAGTTTGGGGGGAGGTGCATACTAAGTGTAAACCTGTTGAAGGCTGATGTATTGTGTGTTGTTTCGTGCAGTTGTAGGTAAATATGTGTGAGATGGAGGTGTCTCTGCCTTAAGGTCCTTGATTTAGAGAAATAAGACCATTTGTAAGATGGATGTTCTTAGAAATTAGAGAAGTAGAACAGATTGTCATTGGGTGCTGGAGTCTAATGTGATTCTTCATAGTGCCAAATTTGTTATATTAGTGGATTTATCTCGGACTCTGGCCAAGGCAGTTTAATTGCTGTATGCATTGGAAGATCCTTAAAATGTGGTTTTAGTTATAATGCAGTTACGTGGCCCTAATGGTCTTGTTTATCGAGGCCCCAGTTGAAACTGAGGGGTGGAGGATAGAGCTGTATGCCAGATATTCTCTTAATTTTTATTGACTTCTAGTCAGGTGATTGACTAAGTACATAACACAAATTGACATTCAAGATAATTCTCCAAAATACATAATGAACTAAAGATTTAAGATGAATTTTTCCATTTTTGCTTGATTTTGGAGATATTCTGCAGTAATATGAAAGCCTTGAATAGAAAAATAAATTCTGTGGGATCTTGTTTTTATAAACTTACAGAAATTAAGGCAATAAGTTGTTCTTATAATTCAGTTCATTTGGCACACAATAGTTTAGTTTACACTAGGCATTTGCATCTTACTATTTAAACCAAAACAGTGATAACTCATATATAATCTTAATTTTACAGTATTTTGTTGATAGCATCTCTCTAATGAAAGATGCCTTGATTTGGGTTTTATCTTGTAAAAGTTAGGTGGTTTTACTGTAATACCATTTATAGAACTGTTTTCTCCAATTCCTAGGAAGGATTAAAAGATTATACTGTTTTTCCTAGTGCCCATGCTTATATTATGTAGGTTTTTCCATAATCAGTGAAAATGTTTATTTTTTGTGTCAGAATTTTTTTAAAAAGTTTGCGTCTTCTCTGTCAGCCACAATTACAGGGTCCTATGTGGAATATAGTGGTGGTGGTGGTGGTATGGTAGCTCTACTGTCCAGAATGATGGGAATACACCATACCATCAATGGACAGCTATTAACATGATGCTGGCCACCTCACAATGGTTACTATTTACATTTGCAGAGTTCTTGAGCCACTTGATACCTGCAGAAATCTTGTGAAGTAGACAATACATTTACAGTCTGGAAATACATTCAAACAACTTTCCTAGGGTCTTGAAGCTGGCAAGAGGCAGAACTTGGATGTTAACTCAGAGTGACCTTCTCCTGCCTCTTGTTATTATGAAATGACATAATGTATGTAAAAGTACCTTGACAATTGTAAATGACTATTCAAATATAAGGTGATTTTTTTGAATTCACCCCGTTGCTGTCCCACTCAGATTTTTATTTCCAGTCCAGTAGCAAATTCTCTAGGCTCTACTTTCGAAGTGTATGCTGAATCTGACACATTTCCCTCTCTCTCTGAAACCACTGTTGAGTTCCATCATTTGTTGCCTGGCCTACTGTATTAGTCTCCTTTTAAGCAGCAGCTAGTGTTACTTTTTAAAATATAGATCATGTTACTCCCCTGCTCTGAACTCTGCAAAGGTTTTCAAAACACTTAGAATAAAATCTTGGCCTTTTCCCCTTAGCTACAAAGGCTTACATCTATCCGGGATCTGCTGACCTCTACCATCATCTCCTGCACTTCTGTGCTTGGGTTGCTGCACTGCAGCCACACTGTTGCTTTGCTGTACCCTGAACAGTGGAAGGCTAAGCTTGTTCCAGTCATGGGGCTTTCCTCCTGTTTATTGCGTTGCTTGCTTTGTCGTATTGGTCAGTTCTTGGCTCACATGTTGTATCCTCAGAGATGCACCTAACTGTCCTAAAATACAGGTTGCCTTTCCCTCTCCCCCATAGTTTCTCTTTATCCTCATATTCCCCTCTCTTCTGTATAGCACTTTCCAGTTCTCCTCCCCAGACAACCACTATTTGTATTGTGTATCCTTCCAGAAAGATCAGAGAGGCTCAGCACATATATGTTAGGCCTATTCCCCTGCTCCTCATGAGAATACCTTGATCCTCCCACCCCCCACTACTACCACCAATAATATGTTCGGGGTGACTCATTTTTTAAAGGGCTGCTTTGTGGAAACTTGTGGTTAGACCTTAATTTAACTAACTGCTTATTGATAACTTAGATTGTTCCCAAATTTTTGCTATACAAACTGCTGTAGTGAATAGTCTTATATATAGAGGTATTTTGCTCATGTGTGAGTTATACTGAATCTTGGAAGTTCTGTGTTTAGCTAGAACTTTTAGAATTTTCTTTTTCTTCTCTTCTCCCCTGGGCCAAAGCTCTTTTAGTCGCTCGCTAAAAGTGACTGCACAATTAAAGCTTAAAGTCACATAGGTTAAAAGGTATCTAAAATAAGAGGTCCTCCCTAATCCATCCATCATAAGGAAGAGCCAGAGTTATTTTGGGAACAAATAAATGAAGATCTATAGTTGTGGGCTTGGTCAAAAAATAGGTTTATTTCAGCTTTACATGTTACGTTGACAGAGTGACATTCTTTTGTCTTCTCAAAATTAATCATGAAAACAATAAAATAGAGCCTTAGGAAACAGTAGTTAACTTACTCAAGGACTTGACTTATTTGATTAACAACTAGCAAACCAACTTTCTGCGATTAGAATTTCACCAGTCTTTCCTAAAGTTTACTTTTCTGGTTAGTGAGGTTTAGTTTCAAATTCTTAAAAACCTGGTATGGGGGCCGGCCCCATGGCTTAGTGGTTAAGTGCGCGCGCACCGCTTCTCTGGCCATACTGAGGCCGCGTCCCACATACAGCAACTAAGAAGGATGTGCAGCTATGACATACAGCTATCTACTGGGGCTTTGGGGAGAAAAAGGGAAAAAAAGGCAGAGGATTGGCAATAGATGTTAGCTCAGGGCTGGTCTTCCTCAGCAAAAAGAGGAGGATTGGCATGGATGTTATCTCAGGGCTGGTCTTCCTCACAAAAAACATAAAACAAAAAAACCTGGTATGATCTGACTTTCCATTGAGACTTGAGTTCTGTTTATTTTTTACTTCAATAATTTTGATTTTTAAAAATGTAGATATCACTTTTTCCTATCACTATTTCAGAGCCACTTATTTGATATGTATTCTAGTACATAAGGTAGTTTTTAGTAAGAAAAGTGATTCAGAAAACTGACCTTTTTTTAAGCCCTGAAAATTTTTGGCTGAGAATGTTTTTTTCCCATTTTAAAAGCAGGCATGAAAAACTTACCATGATGAAGATGGACTTGTTATAAGTTGTAATGAAAACATCCTTAGGAAACATATATTCATGTAGTAAAAATTTGACTAGAAACAATGTGGTTGTTAGCTCTTTTTGTTGTTGTCCCGTTTTAAGAATTTTCTGACCTTCTTTCTAGGACAATAAACCATATTTTTTGCATATGATTTCTGGGGATTCAGGTTCTTGACAGGCTATTTGTGAATCGCCTCCATCTCCATGGGTTCCAGCTTAAGAGTCCTTGGACTACTTTTGGTAGTGATTAAACTTTCAGGCTATAAGGATATTGTTTAATATGCTAAATAATGTTTTGATTATGAATTTGAGCATATTTGAAAGTAAGTTAAAAATAGCAGTCAGTTGAGTGTTATTTTTTAAGCTCCTCTGTGTCAAGCACTTTCTTCAGTCCAGATGGATCACCTGTCACTCAATAAAAATTGAGTTTTGTCAAATTATCAAGCAGTTCCTGATTATCCGCCATGCTAAATGATGATGACATCAGAAATGTTATGCATTTGTTTTGCGAAAGTTCTGAGTTTTTTCCTCGTTTGTGTCCCCTTACAGTTATACACAGTAGAGAACACCATCCTTTTCCTACTCTGATGAGGAGTCTGTAGGCCAA